ATCGCGAAGCCCGATCCCGGGCTAGACCGTTCGGATAATTCGAGATACTCGCCATGAGTACCGCGATCCTCGATCAATAATTTCGGTGATTCGGAGAACTCCGCCAGAGCCAACAAATATTTTTCGGGAGCCACTACTTCACAGGACTAATTGCGGATCGGAAACTCGAACATAGTATCATATTAGGTCAGAGTCTGGATTGAGGGCTCAGCGCTTCACGATAATGATAATAATAATTGAAGAAGGCGAGACAATCGAGTCCAGGCTTTCTAAATGGATACGGAGCACCATTGCTGAAAAGACGGATTTGCATTCACAAATGAGTATGTGGGCAAGTATGAGTGAGTCGATCGTTGATTATGTACAATATTTAAAAGTATGTCACATTCTATGAGGTCACCCCATCTCGATCTCTGATATATCTGTTTTTTTTTATACTGTGATGTATGCGTCCTAGTGTACAAGAATTCATGAATATCGGGTAGAGCTTCTGTTTCTGTGTTCTGTCATTGTGGAGCTGTTTAATTTGAGATTCCCACAGCCTGTCGTTCCCGGCATTGGTTCTCTACAGAAGTTCCAATGCATCGTCCGTCTTGTGGAAAACTCTGTCACGTATTGTTCGCTTCGATTTTTATTCCTTCGTTCCAGGAGATATACAATGCTTCGGGGAACACAATATCATATTATTTAATGTTGTAGCTGCTTCGAGAATCGACATCGATAGCTGTCCGGACATAATTCCGTGTTGATGATATTCTCCCCGATATCCTAGGTTGTTTCATGAACGAATGAAGCATCACGACTCGGTGGATCCTCTCCTTCCTTGTTTCCATGTTTTTTCTCCGCCCTCTTTGTCATTCAGTCCTATGTGTTCTGAGTGTGCTTCCTGCGTTGAGTCCGAGTCGGTATCGGCATCGAGTTTTTTTTCCCGAGGAATGAGTATCAATCAGCGACAGGTGACTCTGTGTGTCTTTCGGTCCCATCCGCTTCGTCGGATGCTCCGATCGGAGTCTCATTCACGGGACTTAATGTTGCAGCTTGATCCTCCGAGAGAGTCAGCCTGGATTCGATGCAGTTGCCTCGACATCTCGTTCGAGCTGATGATCCGAAAACTGACTTCAAGCTTTCACTTGCCTTTATTATTGAACGTCACGTAGACACAAGCAGCCGATAATCAGCGTCGTTGTGATCACGGACTCCATAGCAGACGTATTCAATAAATAAAGGTCTCCCATCACTTCTCGATCGCACGGGCAGGAGCTCGGTATGAGTCCGCGTTGCTGTAGTTCATAAAATGACAACTCCGATACAATCGTGCTCACGAAAAACGGAAACGCAATAGGGAGCCGGAGAGTACGTTTTCTCAGAATTGAGGAGCATTAACGCGCCATGAAGCAATTCTATCGTAAACGACACGCTCGGATCATGTCACTCAATCTCTATGAAGTGGCCTTGTCACACAGGGTGAACAATGGAAGGAGTGCCTCAGTCTGATCCCGCGATTCCTCCTCATAGGGTCGAGCTCCTTCTACATCCAGCAAAACCAAGTGGCAGCGACAGCGACTGCCTTTTTCTGATCGAGGGTTTCCAGACTCTGTCTGTGTGTCATTTCATTCTGATAGAGCTTGAATAGCCCGAGTTTCAAAAGCCGGAACAAGTTTCCAGGTCGAACCAACTCGGAGGTCGGGCTCGAGAACAGGCTACCAGAGAATAGCTGCACAGCGAAGATTAGGTTCAAGTACAATAAGGTACAATCATTATCGAGACAATGATAATAATAATAATATCATGGATGGATGGTTCGATGGATGGATGGATCGGACATCTAACAAGTAAATCGTTGAAGATCCCTGTTCCGGGCATTACGCGGGAAGTGTGGAATCCTAGTATCTGATGGGACTGATCTCCACGAAAAAGCTACGAGCTAGGGATTTGGGTATCCCTCGGAGGGCGGGGAGGGGTAGGCATCTGCATCCCTTTCAAGGATCGTGACATCTAACGAGCACCATGTGGAAATGTTGGATTGAGAACGGGGTACATTGGGGAGTAGTGTGGAGGAGGGGTAGATTCCCATATATGGGTATCAATCGAAAACAAATCATCGAATTCAACAACTCCAAAGTCGTTCTAAACAGGCTCAATCGATTCTCCTCCGGAACTCCGGCAGATATTCCAGGAGTTCGATGCTCAAAACGAATGATGAGGTGAGATATAACATTGATGACTGCTGAACATGAGGAAGTAGATGGAAGTGGTTGCAACTACATTATCGCACTTGGACATATCGCAAGGGGTGAATAATGACGGAAGAACATGTCCTGCAGCAGGACTCAAGTGAGCGGTTTCCAGCGATTGGATACATATAATCTCCTTTCGCGTACGACAGTCTTCTGAGGCTGACGTCACAAGAGGGTCCTGTGGTGGAGCAGACTCTCGACTCTATCGTCACGTGGTCTTTCGTCGATGAGAAGCCATCGATCTGCTTCATCGATATCGGGACCATAGTGATCATTTGTATGGCGGTATCGAGTTCGGGTCACGACTCGTGGGATCTATGAGAAACACGAACATTTCCGAGGAGGACCTTGAGATTACTCCGAGGAGGTAATCAGAAGCGTGTCAACTTTGAAGATCGGAGCTTGCCAAGCACATTCAGCTGCCATATGAATTGAGCCAAGTCGCTGGCTGGGAGGGAGGGCCCTTGCACTAGTCTGAGCCGGAGTCGGAGCCCGTCTGAGCTCTGCTCCAGCGTGACCCAGACCGAGCAGGTCAGCGCGAGCCGGCTGACCGGTGCCCCGCCGCAGATTGCTGCGGTTTGTTGAGTCAACGGATTGTCAGACCACGGCCTCAATCCCAGCGGAATCATCTCCGTCATCAACTTCATCGGCTCCCGTCTCAGCGGCCACAAATCGAAAGAAGCGGTTCGGGGAACCCATATATACCGCCGTGACTTCTATCCGACGTTCTTCCATATCTCCCGGCGGAGAAAAGTAATCTAGGACTCTCATCTATCTATCCAATGAATTACGTATCTATCCGTTCGACCATCGTCCCCGGAGCGATCATCGTAGATTCCGCTCACGCGGATCGTAACCGTTCGACCGAGTATTGTTTAAGTTCCATATCACTTTTTCCTCCGAAAAAACAGCTTTCTCGGAAGGGGAATTCTCTGTTCCTCAGTGCTCCCCTCGTCAAGTCGTGTCCGCTGATAGATTTGTTTTCCGTGTCCGTAGCTGCTTGTGTTTGTCTGAATGTATATGTGTGTGGGTGTATGTATGCATTTCAAATGTATTATTGACTCGTGCCGGGATGCGTCTGGTTCTCAGCTTAATACATTGGCTGTTTACAAAACCAGTCTTGAGTCACCGAGTTGTAGATGTGCGTGACATGTCTCTTTCTCGCATGAGTAGGTTCGTCTCGCGTCTTCTCCGTCGAAGAAGCCTGAAGAGGGTGTTTATTTCAAGTTTTGTGTGTGAACGCGAATGTTGTGACGGTGTTGGAATCTCGACCCGCCGACCTCGACCCACATCTGCATCCGACTATCCTCGAATCCATTCGAGTCTATACTGCCGTGAACGTAGCTACCTATCCATCTATAATCAATCGTAATCAATAATATATATTAATAGATACCATCATAAATCACTTGAGACATTTTGTTCTTCTTACTCGATATCTAACATTTAGAGCTCAACCGGCTTATGAAATTCTTCTTCATTCCTATTAACGGAGAGGATTGAAACGTGCGAACAGAGGTTGAGAAAATGCTTGCTTCGGATCTCTTTGTTTTTCTGAATACCTTCAGGGTACGTCAGTTCGTATTCTCTGCTTTCATTCACTTGCTGTAGAGTTCCAGCTTCTGCACCCCATGTTTTAAAATGAATAGAACTGTTTCGTTTCTTTCTCGCTTCCTTTCGCTCTCAATGGATTCCGGAGAAGATCATTTTGAAATATTGACAAGGGCGTTGCTCCGTGAAGGCACTCTTCCGCTGCTCTCTCTGTACTTCTCTTACGTTCCCTCTCTCTCTACTTAACTCGGCTTATTTCCATAGTTGCTTATTGTTAATAATGAACAAACCGACTGTTCAACGTCCCCCAGTTCCAGTTGTCATCCAGGCTCTCATTGGCCGTGTTGGAGACCGCGTTTCAAAATCCGGAGACGCTCCCGAATTAGCCTGAGACCTATTCCCGAGCGAGAGTTCGAGCGATTCTCTGCGAACGTATGTCAGTGAGTCTTTGGAAGGATTCCATTAACATTCATCGGCTCCGGCTAGAATCGAGGGTAGGCTGTGTACTGATGTGTAACTGCTTCCGGCGATTTCGATGTTTTGCTCTGAACCGCGCCTCTCTCTTCCTCTCTTTGCTGGTGAGTGTTGTCAGCTGCGCCTCGAGACGGACGATTCTCGGAATCGTTCAGATCACCGCTCGATACACTTGGGCCTTCGATAAGACGACACCTATGTATGTCTTCTCTCACCGGGAACGAAGGGGGAGGGGGACGAACCGGAGAACGTTGAGCACTATTTGAGCCATCGTTGAAGAACACGATGAGGGCAATTGAGCTGTTGGCTTGACAGAAGCCTCGTCCCATGCGATCGTCGTCTGATCGGCTGAACGGTCCGCCAAGGTAAGGTGAGGACCACACATTCCCGTCCTTACGGCTCGCCGAGGCGCTTCTCCGTTTTCTGTTTAAGCTGTCATTTCTTACTGTCTGAACTACCGCCTGTGTTTCCTGATTTATTCATGTGTCTATTTTCATCATCCTTTTCCCTGCTGCTGCATCGTCGTCAAAATCACCGGGATGGGGTGACGATTGTTTGAGACCGTACATGCCCCGCCAATCAGACTCCGACGGAATGACGGTATAAGTCTGTTGTGGTGATTATAATGTTCACGGGAATGGATTTTCCTCTTGTTGTTGCTGTTGTTGTTCTCTCCATTGTTCTCGCTTCAAGAGTGGCTGTGGTTGTGGAGGTTCTCTTGTGGTCTACCGTCGTCCTTCAGGCGGTGGACTTCTTGTGCATTGAGATCACCTTGTCCTGGTCTACAAACTGGAAGATGTGCGGAGCGTCCAGCAGTATACCCATAGTCCCAGCCGCGGTCACCGCGAAAAAGATGTACAGCTGCAAGCGGTCGATTACCATGGCCACGTATTTCCAATCTTCTCGGATCTGCAACGAAGATGATACATGATCGTCTCAGATCCCAAGGAAAAGGAGGAATATCTATTTCCCTCCAAAGTCGTGACGCTACGTTTCTCCAGCCCGAACCGATTTTCGAGAGTGCTGCTCTCCTAGACCGACGTCAATCCGGCGAGAGCCCAGGGCAGACGCGGTCCCCCTCAATATGTCCCGCACTGAACACGATGTTAACTTAGGCATCACCTAATTTAGGACCGAATCGGTCAGGAAATGAGACAACAAGCAGCGCTCCTCAGCTCTTGTCGTTCTTCGCTGCTCCCTCTCGGCGGCTCTAGGTATCAGATTGAGGCGAACGACCATGGCAAGGAGAAGACGGCTCGTTAGGCTGAGCCGGGAGGAGGGTAGGAAGGACGACGATGGGAGGAAGAACGACGTTAGGCTTAGCCAGTAAGTGGCTAATGCCGCAGCCGCCTCCTTGATCTCGCTAGTTGGCCAAGCTTTTCTGGTTCGGGCGAATTCGACCACTTGCATGGTGGCTGGACGAAAACTCGACCAGATGGCAGCGAAAGGGGAAAGCCCGGACGGGGGGAAGAGGAAATACAGAGCAAGTACAAGGGGAAATATCCGAGGACAGGACTTAATGCTTCGGAACGACGTCCTCGTACGCTTTCAGCGGTCATTGAGCGCGGAGGGTTTCCTCTACAGGAACCGATACCCCCCCTCACCGAGTATCTGGATGCTAAGTCCTAAGACGAGGGATCGCGTTGGAACTCACCTGAACATATTCATCTTCGCAACGTAGGTGCTCAGCGATGAAATCGATGGCTTCGGTGGCACGGAGCGCATCGGGACACAGGTAGACCAGATCTGTCTGTACAGACTCTGTTTGGGCTTGGTTAGCGTTCTCGGTTGCTGACGCGGCATTATTCGGTGACGCGACTTCGTTCGCCTTGTCCCGATTTTGCATACAGTTCGGGTGGTGAACTTCTGTGTGGACTTCGGCCAGCTCGAAGTCGGTCACTTTATTCGCCTTGATATTGCATTGCGGACGAAAATGGTGGTGGTGTACACCCAAGCCCGGCATATCCATCATCCATCTGCGGACAGAGTCAAAGGAATTAGTCAGGTACGGAGGACTTCTATCTCGATTGTAATCCGAAGCCAATTGATTTCTTGTGTGCGGTATCAATGCCACAGGCTGTCTCCCGTGGACATTCTTCTCGTAATTTCCCGAATGCCAGCGATGAATCCGGCTCAATTGGGCTTGAGTCGGAGTAGAGTTACTGTAATCGGAGGGAATGTTCTTGGTCCGCATATTTCACGCATCGCAGTAAAGAATGCGCTGAGCCTCGGCGCGAAACACGTATCCAGTATGCAACGTACACGGGGGAGCTGCACACACAGCGTACAGTATACTGACGGTGCTGTATAACAAGTTATACAACAAAAGAGGTTGCTATGGATGCCTGAAGGAAGAAGGACCAACTGGAGGTTGGAAACCGGGAAGATCAGGGCTAGGGGACAGGAGGAATTGTGGACGTCGTTTGTGTACAGTCGTAAACAGCGATGTCGACAAAGGACCGCTCGCCGAAACTTGCTTCCATCCGCCTGAATGGGTGGCCAGGCTGGCAGCCATCGTCCTTGTTTTCGACGTTGTTGTCGTCGTCATCGACGTTCCCACTTTGTAAACAGTTGTACCGTCTCGCTCATACCGAGTAGCACTCCGGAAACAAACCAGCGGCCGACTCTTCCAGGCAGGAGGCGAATTTCCGTAACCTATCCTCGCCGCTCCGAAGTCGGAGCCCTGACTTGGCCAGCTGATCATCTAAGAAACTCTGATAGCTGATCACCGGTAAAAAGCTCGCTGACTCGAAGGTCCCATGCTGGATATGTCTGGGAATGAGCCCAAGTGAAGGGAGTTCCTCGCAGAGATTAAGTCATCCAAGAATGAGTGAGGCTGCAGCGTCTGTCTCTTCTCGGGGACGAAAGATATCGATACAAGACACCTTGGGTGAATTCACGGAGCACGAGGCAGGCGCGACAGAGGCCCCAGCGAGACGGTGGCAGCCCGAAATATTCCCCTCGTCCTGAAAGTCATCCCCTCTCGTCGAAGCAGACGCACGCCAGGATTACGTTCTGCGTGGTCCAGCAGGAGAGCACGAAATTGGATCCTAGGAAAAAGAACGACTCGAGATGATACAGCTGCGATAAGCGCCGTGACAAACGACAGGACTAAAAACGATTCGAAAGCACTTGTATATGGGCGGCGATAAAGTACGAGGGGGTCAGCAGTATCAGCTGTTTCGGAGGCCAGAAAAGGTGTATGGCTCGTAGGTCACATCTTGCTTTCGCTGCTTTCATTCGGGGACCATGGCTGTTCGGTCTAGTCAGCAGAGCGAGCAACCGCCCGCTAATGCCCGAGATCTCCTGTGGATTTCCCCCACCGGACGAGGGAAGCACCCAATTCCAGGCGTTACCGGAGGTAGGTCACAGGAAGAATGAGGATACGAGAAGCAACGCCGCCGGCAAACCCAGGCCGAGACGATCGTTTCAGAATCTTAGTTCGGAGAAACACAAAACGTTCGGCTTAGTAGGGAGATCCACCAGTTATGGACCG